CCCTGCACTGTCACACGTATCTGTGACTTCCCTGTTCACCTCGGCAACGCAAGAGAGAAACAATGCCACAACACCAAGAATGAATGTTACTCTTATGACTTGTCATCAAATCACAGCTACAGGAATGTTAGTCTCTTTGTGTCTTCCCATCTCTGGACATTTCTGGGATTTTCCGGGTCACACTTGCACAATGCTATATGGACGGAGTTGACATTTTCCTATTTCCCTCGCTGATTCCCTACTAGAAAGGCTGCATGTGAGTCCTTTAAACTTTGCCCTGGCGCATCTGTGTGTGGTTTGGGCTCCATCGAGTTTAAGGGACATACAGGATGCGCCTGCTGGGAATGTGAGATGTGGCAAGGTTGCCTCCCGGCCCCTGTGAGAGCACCCCCGGTCTTCATCCTGTGCAGCTGACAAAAAGTCTATGTAAACTTTCGGTGTCGCTGGGTGAGACCTGCTGAAGACACCGCACTACACATCCTGACCTGTGTCTGTGTTAAATTCCAATATGAAAGATGCCAAGACGTGCTCCTTCTCTTCAGGTTTTTCACCAGGATTGGTTTCCCTGTTGTTGAAACCCCCTTGGCAGTGTGCTCCTTGCAGAGCGGCAGACGGTGGAAGGACAGGCGCCACCGCTGCCCTTGGATCCTCCCTGTGCGGTGTTGCTGTTGGGTCGGAGCTGCCTGCCTCTAATTTCTCTCCCATAAGTATGATTTATTTACCAGAAGGCTTCTTCAACCTTCTTTGTCCCTTGAACAACTAAGATTCCTGGAAGACATGTGCTACGAGTCCTCTGAGTGTGATGGAACCCGACTGCACCAAGAAGCGCAGTCAGGGCCAAAGGGCTCAAATTCAGCACACATCCCACTCCCTCGGTTATGCGATCATAGCTGCTTCCACCAAAGAAAGGCTCGTTCGCTGCAATTTACAGGTGGTCTCTGTCCTGGCCTGAACTCCTAGATTTAAGCTTTGAACAAGAACTCCTGCTGTTTGGAGGCCAGAGACGATGACGTACAATTCTTGTGGATGTGCTCTAACTTGTCATTTCTGAGGGGGGGACTGCGACTCATACCTATGGAAACCTAGGACCCCGGCAACCTTGGAAACTGCTATGGAGTAGAGAAAGACAGAGATTCCCTGAATCGCACAATGCTGACTTTTTTTTCTCTCAAGCTCTTAGACTAATATTCAATTAAGCCCCGTGATATTTCCTTCCTGATCGTAGACTGAAGCCTTGATACAGTGCTGAGGTCAAGACTGTCCTCGGTAATATTGTACCGGGTAATTTTACTAGTCCACTCACTGAATGCTCCCGATCCAGTTCTATCTAATGATATATTTCCTCTTCCTCAGCATACAATGACTTCACAAAATAGGGTACGTCTCACAGAACTTGGCGTGTCATTTAAATAGAATTATTTTTGCTGTAGAGACACCGAAATGCAAAGACATCCAGCGGCCAATGACTTCTCCTTGCTGGAAGCCAGAATTTCAGGACGCCAATTATCCCAGCCTCCCATTTCTTCTTCCCATGGTCTATGCAGCTAGGCTAGCTAACGAAGGAGCGCGGTCGGAACGCTATCTGGGGTTGTGCGATTCTAAACGGTATCTCACGGTGTGGAGTCAGCAAACCTTCGCTTTCATCGTCTTGCTTTTTTGCAAGTGTGTGCTTCACTTCCAAAAAGTTTTTCAGTTTATCGTTAAAGTTCACCGATTCAGCACTTGCCCTTCACAAAGGTCTTGGGAAGCCACAAACAAAGATTAGACTCTGCTTCACAAAAAGTCAGACAATCCAGCCAAGGAGCTGAAGTGGTTCCCACCCTTCACACTCGCCACACCCCATCAGCCAACAATAAATCCCCTCCTGACATAAAAGTCCCTCTCCCCACTCACCCCCAGTAAATCCCCTGTTGGCAGGAGGCCAGGCTGAACAGATGTGTCTGCCACCACTTCCTGGGGTGGGGTCAGGCTGCACAGCTTTGATCAACCAAAGGAGGAATTTCCAGTGTCGAGGGCCCTCTGCAAAGACTGCCCCAGGGCCTGGCCCAAGAGGTAAAGGAACCAAGGATTAAAAAGCAACCAGAAGCATCCCAACTGGCAGAGCAGCACAAAGGACTCCTGCGCCAGAGAGGAGGCATCTTGCTTGTTCCCTTCATTGCTTGGGGAGTTCTGCAAAGACAAAGAAGCCCACCTATTATGGCTTGAAGCTCATTCTGAGCAAAAGACAGTCTTTGTGGTATTGGGTTTAGTCCTTCCTGTTCCTCATTCTTGTTAGTAAACTAGACACGCTGGAAAGAATGTTAATCTTTGTGTTACTCAAATGCAAATACCAATTAATGTTACTCTAAGGACGATTTGACAGGACCAAAATCCTGAGGCTTCTGTGGATCATTATGTTGGCTCATACAAGAAACTGCCACGGTTTTCTCCACTACTTTCCCTGGAATCACATGTGACACTTTCCCAGTGAGCCACTGAAGTTGGGCATATCTGATTGCCTTGTGTGGAGCTGTGGCTGCAAAACTGAAGAACCTGAAAAAATGTGGAAACTTGACTCTCTGAAATTAGGGAAACTGCCATAGTGAAATGATGACCTTGCTTTAACTGAGATTTGCTATATTGTGCCACTCAAGAAATCCGTCTATCAATCCATAGTGAATTATGCCTAGTGGGAGCACACATGGCATTCTCTTTGAAGATTTTGTTAGAAAAGGATTAGCACCATAATGAATTTAACCAAATCTCAACAATCAAGAACTATTGCTGGCACAGTTCAAAACCCTGTACATGTTGGTAAGGACGAGGAGGCAGGGGAAGAGAGAACTCTACTCCAAGAAAGAACCTGCTTCTTTCTTTCCAGTGGCTCTGTCATTGGGGATGGATTCAAAGCTGCTGGCCATTCCCTTCGACTCTGTATGACTACAGCGGAGGAAGTTGTCAGGTTTAGTGCCCAGAGGAAAATACGTTGGTTGATAATTTCTGCAGAATTGAAATATGTTGCGTGTCAAAATTTTGGAAAAGAATCTGCCCAATGAAAGAAAAGGCCTCTTCCTTTTCAAGGTTAGTCTCCTTCCATCAGTAGATTAGAAAACAACATGTACAGCAGCTTTATGACCCTGTGGTGTCTCCGTATTATTTCAAAAAACATTCAAGGGGTAGAAGATCCAAGGCTGGGTCCTCCAGAAACTCATGTGCTAAAGCTCGGTCCCCAGGGTGCTGCTGGGAGGTGGAAAACCTTTCAGGGATGGAGCCTTCAGGGGTCCTTAGGTTAGTGCAGGAGGGCCCCGATGGAGAATGTGGGACCTGTTCTCTTCCTCTCTCTCTTCACTTCTGGGCTCAGGAGGTTTGCGGTTTTGCTCCACCTCACACTCCACCATAATATGTTGCCTCACTCCTGGTCCATAGAAAGACATCTACTTAACCACAGACTGCATCCACCGATAAGTTTTAAAAGTACAAAAAAGTCTGTATCAGTGAGTGGTAATGTGCTTTGGATTAGGTATTAACTCTTCAGGGTAGGGGCAGGTTGTGAGCAAAAGGAATGAGGTAGGAATGAAACAGTATTGTGCCTCTTCTTTTCCCATTTCCCCACTTCTTTGGTTCCCCCCCACCCCGTGGAAAACAAAAGTCAAAGATGTAAGGTGAATGGCAGGGCAGGTTAGGGTAATGGTCATAATGACGAGAGAATCAGGTATGTTCCATAAATAAACTGACTGAGCAAACAAATATATTGAGTACTTGTTCATTTACTTTGCAATACTAGAGAAAAAATTTGCATTGCTAGAGAAAATAATTACAAGCAGAGAAAGGAGAAAGAACAGAAGTTTGAGGGAGATATTAGGGTGGAATTGTCCGTAGCAGTATGAACTCACAGGATATATAGAATACTCAGGTATAACACGTGTACAGCGACATACTCACATATACCTAGATATGTGACTGACACCAGCACCAACAGGTGACCGTGGTTCTGACCCCAAGGAATGCGAGGCCTCCTGTTTGGATGCTCTGATAACAAACACAACACCACTTCCAGGATTTCTTACAAAAGTCCAGGATCCAGGTCTGGTCATGAAGAGGTAGCCAGTGGCTCTGTGATTAGGGTCGAGATATAAAATGGGAGACCTGTACTCTGTAAACTGTCAAGGATGAGAACAACAAGGAAAGTCCAAGGAAGTGTTCCAGGCTGAAGAAGCCTGAAGGTACATGATAGCTGATGTCTGGGGCTTTCTGGGTGGGATCTTGGATCAGAAAGAAAAACAAGATATTTGTGAGGGCATCAATGAAATTGAAGGAGCTCATGGCGGGTGTTCGCGCTATCTCAGCTCCTGAGTGGAGTGTCATGTAGTGGCTGTTTGGGGGAATGTCCTTATTTGGAAAATGCATCTTACAACGCTTCGGGGCTATGGGACATCATTTTGCCACTTGCTCTCAAAAGCTTCAAGGAAAATCATTGTGGCAACAGGTTTATAAGTGAGTGACTATGTAAACACAATGGCTTGTTAACATTTGAGGAATCTAAGTGAGGGAATGCAGAAGTTATTTTTAATATGATGGCAAATTGTTCTAAGTTTCAGATTATTTAAAAAGGAATAACTAGGGCCGGGGATTTAGCTCAGAGGTTCCACTGCCTGCCTCGCAAACATAGGACCCAAGTTCAATCCCTGGTACCAAAAAAAAAAAAAAAAAAAAAAAATAACTAATAAAAACATTCTCCACTTAAAATTAAGTGTCTCTAGATTTCAGATTGTGCTCACTTGCTTTATTTTGAGTAGCTCCGACAATATTGTGACTGAGTTTTAACTATTTTGTGGCTACACTATGATTTTTAAATGAAATTCCATTTCAAGGCTGGACTCATGAAACTCAGGATTGCAATCTCTTTGGATATAACATTTATCAAGTGCACAGTAAGGCTTGGTTTACTGATCATGTTTAACTTTTATAGAGAGTATAGAAAAGGAGTCTCTAGATTTCAGATTGTGCTCACTTGCTTTATTTTGAGTAGCTCCGACAATATTGTGACTGAGTTTTAACTATTTTGTGGCTACACTATGATTTTTAAATGAAATTCCATTTCAAGGCTGGACTCATGAAACTCAGGATTGCAATCTCTTTGGATATAACATTTATCAAGTGCACAGTAAGGCTTGGTTTACTGATCATGTTTAACTTTTATAGAGAGTATAGAAAAGGCTGTGTCTGTATTGTTTCCTGGATTAGATACAGCACTTACAATCACCCTTGGATTTAGGCCCTGCTCCTCTTCTAATTATCAAGCTGAGGACGATTAGTTAAACTACAGGTTGGCTGCATATGACAGGAGAAAACAGCAGCTTACACGAACTTGCAGTTCATTTCTCTCACATCTAAGGCACACCTGAAAATAGTGAACTCAGGGTGCACTTTGGTCCCCAGCTTTTTTTTGTCTGTTCTGCCATCTTTAACACATAATTTACATTTCTAAAATCAGCTCAAAACCCAGCATGACTGCGGGAGCTCCAGGCTCCCCCATTTACAGACGGCAGTGACAAAATGACCCTGGGCTCTTTGCCTTTAGTTTGTTTTCACAGATAGCCCAGAAATCACCTCCATCATGGTCCAAATCGTGGCATGCGTGTCCACTCAGCTGTGGAGGAACTTAGTGAATAATCATCGTTTCGCTGGGCCCATTGTTCTGAATTCTAGTAGTGAAGAATTTCTTTGATCTTTGGAGGCTGCTAGCTATCTCTGCCAAAGAGAATATCTATCCAAGGTCACTCAGCTGGTAAACTGAGGAAACTCAGTTGCCCTGTCTCCAAGTCTGAGCCTTTCCCAAATGATAGACTAGTGTAGATAGCACTCTTGGTGCCATCTTCAGCAGGTGTCATGGTCCACTGTCATCACCGAGCTGGCATCGACTTTGACCTATCGCCGGTTCTGGTCACAACAAGAGTCAAAACTGTGGAGAAAAAAATAATCTGAGCTCCGGGTGGTACATGAAAGGATGGCACACCTGGACAGGCGTGGGATGCTCTCCGTCGTCGCTGGTTAGGAAATCTCACCTTAGAGAATGGGAGTCAGAGTTACGTGGCCGTTACTGTGATCCTTCTTGTGCCCCTGGGTCCTGGGCTGTGGTCAGTGATGCGTGGAAGATTAGTGACCAAATGGAAGCCTTCAGAGCGCTTTTCCGGAGTGGGGAGACTGAGGGAGTGGTAGACTATGGGGAGTTGCTCGGTCCTGTTCTTCCTTCGTGCACTTCTCCTTGAACACCCTGAAACTCTTTGCACAGCTCCTCAGAAAGGGAAGGTCTTCATCTCATTCCAAGGTGCTCTACGGATGCCCGGTCTCCCTTATCTGATATGGACGTGACCCTGTCCCCTCAGTTTACCGGAGGCGCAGGAAGACCCCGTCCAGAGCTGTGCTCTGGATCTTTTGTTCAGGCTCTGGACCTTTTATTCAGGCTCTGGATCATTTCGCTTTCACAGTGAAATCTTAAGTCAGAGGAGAGAAAAATAAAGTAATAATCGAGAGCTGAACTATTTCCAAATCTAACAGAGTTGGCCAAAAGAATTTCAATCAAACCTTTTTTTTTAAAGCAACAACAACAGTAACAAAACAACAACAAAATTTCCCGAGTGTAAGGTTGTGAAGGTCAAGATCTAAACTGATGTGAACAAAAATGTCTCAGAAGAGCAGAGTTAGAGGTTAAATAAATGTTTCTGACAACAGGGATTTAAAACAGAACCATTAAAAATAGATTTTGCAGCCTGTGTAGGAACAAAGCGAAAGAAAAGGAAAGGCATCAGAATCCAGCGTGGACAATGTAACTAATAGTCCGCCATGACTAAGTGCGATTGTCTTACATGTTTTTCATCTATTTTTGGCCTATTAGTCTGGTTTTTAATTTGTACATATGATAATTAACCTTGTAAGGACTTATCAGATAAATAAACTAAACTGATGCTGGAAAAATAAAAAGGGGTCCGAGGGGAGAAAAGAATAGAAATGTGTTCTGTACACGTACAAGTTCCCTACAGAGATGTAGGCAGTAAGTGCTGCCTACAGGTACTGCTAAAAGTCAAAAAAAGGAAGAAAGGAAAAAGCATAGCAACGGCCAGTGATCTCTGCTCTGAGTTCTGAGTGAGAAGTCCTGTTTCAAGAACATATTTCTGGAAAGTAAAAAACGTATATTTAAGCTTCAATATATGAATGAAAATTTCAAGAAAACATGCAAGGAGAAATACAATAAATTTCATTATATATTAGCCATTTTGATAAGATGTATGGTCTTTAAATTTTATTCTTAAAATGTGTTGATGTTTTCCAAGTTACATGGCTTTTTGATGATAAAAAATACACAAAAATAAAAATCACTTGTTATCCAAATATCTCCTAGACAGTAATTTATATTCATATTTTAGAACTTTTTCATGTTTCTTTTCTGTGCTATAAAGATACTTATATTTATACATAAATTTCCAATTCCTCCAATCAGCATCATACCTTGATTACTCTATAACATCTTTTTTCAATTAATGAGCCAATGCCTTCTCTTCTGTACCATTAAATACTGTTCTAAGCATTATTTGTAATTTCCATGGATGAATCCTTCTTCTATATGTGTACGTGACATTTCTTTCACAACTATATTTTTATTAGAATCACGATGAAGAACAGTGTAAAAAGAAGGACCGCAAATAATAAAAGGGGATACAAACACAGGGACAGATTTTTAAAAACAAAACAGCCACAGGTGTTTTGCACTACATTTTGCTACCAACTTCACCAACACCCAGTGGTTTGTAGTTGTGGGCCATTACAATGTCATTTGTTAAAATTTTGCATACGTTTAAACTATACCGTAACATTGGTCCATTCTCCGTTTCCCCTATATCTAATTCAAAGAGCTCACTGAAATACAGTCAAAGGCTGTAGAGTCACAGGTTCTAGCTCACATTCTCTTCTGTGACATCCACCAGCTCAATATAAGCACAGAAAGAGGTAACGCTGTATAAAGATACCTCTCTTCAGAAAAGTGCAGCGGAAAAGGTGCTCCCAGTCTGGAGATGCCACAGTGACACTAAATCAGGGAGTGGACGCCCAGCTGGGTTCAGAGGTGGTGCAGATGTGAGTATGACAGAATCAGGGGAAATCACCCAGGCAGAGAGAGACGTAGGCAGTGCAGTTAGGGAACTGCTCAGGCGTTGGTATCCAAACTGGCTCCAGACAGAACTCTTCCATTGCAAAATCTTGTACAAACTATTTAATCGCTCTGAGTATGAGGTTCCTAATCTGTAAAGTTGTGTTACTCTTCTCAACATCATAGAGTGTATACGTCATCCAGTCACACAACCACATGATTTGTTTGCTCAAAAAGTGAGGACTATTCCTATTATTATAAAGAGCAAGTCTATAAAATTAAGAAGCACTGCCAAGCTAATTCTACATAAAAATTCAAATGAAATAATAGGAGTTTCATATCAGCCTATGAGCAAGAAATGATTAGCCTTCCATCAATTAGAAAAGCTCTCACACAACATGGCACTATGAAATTTAGGAGAAAATGAAAATAGAGTCAATACTGCAAGTCACGCATCATCTCATTTAAAGTTTGGTTGTTCATGAGCCTAATTATGACTTGTTCTCTTTGTACAGCAAATCAGATGTGAATTCACTATTCAACACGTACGAACCCCTTGTCATGTCTTGGGAGTTATAGGAACCGTTCTCACTGAAATTTTCACTGAACCTTAAACATCGCCGGGAGATGAGCACTATTCCTGGTCACACTGTATGCAAAGTGAAACCAAATCAGCCAGGATTTAAGAAAGCATGTGAAATTCAATAGCAAGTAAATGGCTGAGTTGGAATTTTCATGCAAGTCTTTATTTCAAACTTGACACTCTGCCCACAGAACATGAGGAAATCGGAATTAGTCTGTTGTAAACTGTTCTGACTGAAAAGTCTCCTTCCTTTATGTAACTAGAAACATAAATGGAAAAAGGAAGACATATAATCCAAAACACCCAATTGCAAACTAGGGAAGTTATTTCAAAATTCCCTCTGTATAGTGAGAAGAGCCACTGAGAGCTGTTTGGATTCATTCAATTGCTGTTGTCTGGTTTTGTGTTCACAGGAGACTTGAGGCATTAGAGTAAGTCAAAAGAAACAAATTGGTTGTTATAAAAGCAACACTCTGCATGTAGATATATATATTTCTCTTTTAAAATTATAATGAAAATCAGATAATCAAAGCAGTTCATTAGAAAAAATGTTAGACTTAAAGGTGCCTGTATTTTCACTGGAGAGATTTCTCAAGGGCCAGGTAGGTCTTGGGTGGCCAGCAGTCCCTTTGGCCTTTTCTACAGGGCCATGAGGAGGCAAAGCCCACTGGTGCTTATTCCCCATTTGAAGAAACATGCTATGGGAAAAGCAACACAGATGAGGATTTGCCTGCATGTTGGAGTGGAATTCTGCGAGGAAAGTAAGGAAGTCACACACTTGGAGCACACGATTCAGATGCTCCCAGTAGAGGATGCCAGTATGTTCCAAAGGCTTTAAAGCTTCAGGGTATGGTTCCTGAACTGCAAGATGCTCTCTAGGTGTATGCGGTTTTACATACATTTGCTTATGCTGCAATGTCTGACATAATTTTCCGGAATAGCTTGAGAAGGGAGGGATGAAGCCGTACGAGGAAAGAGATCCACCATGTGTTCACGCTTTTGCGGATCCTCCTATAGTTAGCAGCATTTCTTCACTTGGGTGGCTATTTCCTGCCCCTCAGCTGAGAGAAAAGTCTCATCAGAAATAAGGCAAATTCTCTTTCCCTTTAGAAGCATTTAGGGGAAAGAAGAAGAGAGAAATGATTTAAACTACTAACTAGAATGACCGCAATTAATTCCATAGATCTGAGAAATTCCATCCACTAGGAATAATACAACGACACCGAGTTTGCACAATTACAGTTACTGTAAAATACAGTTCATTTTCAAAACTACAAGGTAAAAGGAGCACTTTAAAGTTGGATTCTGTTTTTCCCAAACTACAGTGTTTTTCTGATCTACAAAAGACAAAATGCTGACCCTCTTGTCACTCCCTCTGAACCTAAAAGGCCATCTGAGGGAAAACAGGATGTGACTAAGAACAATGACACCTCTGAGAACCACAAACCAAGCCAACAGATGGATAGAGCCTGGTGTTTTTCAGAATGTAGGAAGAAAAGCATGGATGGCAAAGCTGAACAATGACTGGGAAAACACTACTGACAATTCTGCCCACAAACCAAACATTCCACCTTCCTTCTCTTGCTAGAACATTTCCACCTGATAAAACCTAGAAAGGGTGTTCTGTGTGTGAGATGATCTCTTGCCTCTTAAATCACCACTGTGTGGCTTTTCAGGCCCCTTTGTCATTATTGTGTCCTTTGTTAAATCAGTCCAAGCTGGGAATCCCTAATCACACAAATCACAGAGTATGCACAGATCCACAGATCATGTGTGAGTGCTAGTGCCTGTGTGTGTTTAACTAGAGTTATTTAAATCCAATAAGATTAGAAGAATACACACAAGACAAAGGGATTATTAACAGCTATTTAAAGTAATTCATGTTTGGTCTAAAACATTTTGTGGCAAGATTGGATATTTCTGTTAAAACGTATGGAATGAATGCAAAAAGCCATGAGTAGAAGATATTTTGCAGTTTTCACAGTTGCTGTCACAAAAAGAGCACCTATGAAAATGAGCAAGGAAAAAATCAATTCCAATCAATAAGGCAGTAACAATGCATTAAGATATTACTTTCTCTAGCACTAAGCTCTTTCCTCCAGCTGTATTTGTTTTAAATACCCTTAATCTAGGTACAGAAGCTTTAGTATTTGAGGCAGTTGTAAAAGGAGACATAATCATTTAAACCTAACTAATTTAGAACATTAGCTCAAGAGCAAAATATTAAGCACAATCTATTAAATTTACTATCTCTGCTATTCATCGATTGAACTGATCATTACAAATAAGTACCATATAAAGGCAATAGCAGAGGAACTTACACTAAATGAAAGAGAAAAGTGAAACTATGCAATTTATAAGAAGTCGGTTTAAAAGTTCTTTTTTTCTCATCTCCCACTCTTTTGTATCACTTGTAAAAAATAATTAGAAATTGTAAAAGTCAACATAAAGGGCCAGATCTCAGCACATGAATAGACCATTCGTGAACTAGGTGGCTTACAGCTTTTAGGGTCACCAAGCGCTTCGCAGACACTGCTGTTAAATCCGGGAGGAAAATGTTGGCAGGAATATTTCTTCTTGGATCCAGAAGACACTGAGGTTGATGGTCCTATTGCAAAAACCACTGTATATAAACCAAACAATGATTTCCTGTACTAACCTATACTTTCACTTGAATTTGGCATTTTAAAGTAGTTGTTTTAATGCTTCTGATATCAACAAGTTATAAGTTCCTCAAGAGCACACAGGGTGTAATCTGCATCAATTTA